ATTGTCTGCGATTATTTCTACTTTGCTATCTCCAGTGTTATGACAGGAGAATCTTCAATAAGCTTTTGGTTTGTTTTTCGAAATATTCCTGTTGAATCCCACTTCATCCTTTTGGGAGCATTCCCATGACGTTCAAAAAAGTTTTTGGTCTTTGTTCTTGTATTAAGGATGCACATTCTTCTGCAAATGTTGCTTCAACTTTGTCAGTTTCATAGAATTAGTTGACAAAACTTTACTACAAATAACACATTGGGACCTTTCTCCATATGTTATTGGAACTAAATCCATATTTGAATATATAAAGAATCGTACACTGTTTTTTTTTTTTTTTTTTGCACTCATGATGGGCTCTAAACTCTTTGGTTTCATTACTATAGAACAATAATTAGGAAGTTGTTCTAGCAGACTGTTAGTACTTCCTCATTGAGTGCTCTTCATTTGTGTCCTTGTGCCAGATTAAGATAAGTACTTTGGTTTCATTACTATAGAACAATAACTAGGAAGTTGTTCTAGTACACTGTTAGTACTTCCTCATTGAGTGCTCTTCATTTGTGTTCTTATGCCAGATTAAGGTAAGAACTTTGATTTAATTATTTTGAGAGAGCAAGGTTTGATCAAAGTTTCTCCAATTGTCTGCGATTATTTCTACTTTGCTATCTCCAGTGCTTTGACAGGAGAATCTTCAATAAGCTTTTGGTTTGTTTTTTGAAATATTCCTGTTGAATCTGGCTTAGTTAATATCAGACATTGCACATTTGAAGAGTTTCCTTATTTGGTCTTGATTAGCAGTGATTTGCACAATGATGACTTGGCATTATATGATAAACGTAAAATTTCAGATAGAATATATCTGTAAAAGGAGAATATAAATAAAGACAAAAGGAAAACTTAATCGACACATTTTATCCTTTGTCGTACTTATATTATTCAAGCCAAACCCAAGAATTTTATTTTGTAACAAGTATTTATAGAAAAAACAAAAATGTTATTAGTTTTTAAAAAAAATTAAATTTAAGAAATGCTCATAAATATTCATTAGGTTAACTGAAAAGTCTTAGTAAGTTATGGAGGACGCTAAGTGACATAATTTCATGTTTACTAAATGAAAGTGAGTAAAAGATGTTCTTGAAATTTTTATGCAAATTATATATATATATATGTTATGGGGACCTACCTTCATAGATAAAATAGACTCGTCTTATGACTATATTATACCTCGCAAGAGGACTGTAGACAATAGACGAGTTGACTACTGTACTTAGCCGTCAGACGGATGTGTAACACTTCTGTATTCGTTCTTTCTGTTAATAATACATTTTTACTGAATTGCTGAGTTTGAGATTTCTTTCGGACCTCTTCCAGGTCCACAACAATATATAATAGGTATGTATGTGTATTAAACAATTTCTGACTGTGTCTATATTTCTGAGATAAGCTATTGTAATTATTTACATTGTTCAGACTGTTGTCCTCATCTTTAGTGCCACATGCACGACATTTTGGCTGTTGTATGAGCCAGCATTCTTCAGGATATATCTATGTTTCTGAGATGGGGTATTGTAATTATTTGCATTATTTACATAGTTCAGACTGTTGTCCCCATTTTTATTGTTACATTCACAACATTTCAGTCGTTGTGCATCCTGCCCTTCTTCAGGTGATATTTGCTTGAGTTTTCAAATTGAATCAAACTTCAGAGATGCCAACACACAGATATGTTCTGGGTTCAATTTGAAACTTTCAACTAAATTTCTGAGTGGTACAAAATTTAAGTATAGCATAAAGAATTGGAGATATGTTGAAAATGATGTTTCCAAATAAGTATTTTGATGTTTTATTTAGTTTCACTCCAGACCATTTTATTTACTGAAATAATCATGATATTTAAAGCCATATTCACAAAGAGGTTCCTTATGTTTTTAGAAAATGGCCACTGAGGTGTTCCTGCCATGCTTAGTGGGTTAAGAAAAATGTATCCAAATATTACTGCTTCCAATATGACCTGGCCGCTCATATCCGAAAATGCCTGTCCACTAGGGCAACTAGCCAATCCTTGTTGCAAACATCTGCTCAGGCATATTTGTGTTTGTTCAACACCCACATAGCTCACCTGTGGTTTATACTGAGTGGACCTTAGCTACAGAGTGCATTATCTGGTATGATCAACAGTCTGAACAAGACTAGCATGCTCAAACCCTCGGTCACGAAGACTTGTGACTTTGTGCTAGCACAACCATCAATGGCTCCCAAATAGTTCTGTCTGCTCAATTTCACTCTGTGGTATGGTTTTCAGGCACTATCCAAAGGTGCCACACGTTGGGATCATCTCCCCCAGTCCAATAAGATCAAGAAGTCACCTTCCTGATAAGCTGATCATAACAACATTCAAACCTGAGTTTCATGGTCAGAAAGTGAATGCTCTAATCAGTCAGTCATGGACCTAATAAAGGTATGCACATGGACACACATATATATGGGTTAACTGATTAATTTTCCATAGCTTATCAATTCCTCGCAGGTTAATTAAACCTAGAAAATACTTTTAGATTGTGTGAATTTTTTTTGAGATTAAAATGGTTTAGTGATGCAAGTCTTACTAATTAACCCATAGGTGAGGGAGAAGATGTGGATTCATACCTTTCCCAAGGGTATTTGCATGTAAGTGATTATAATAAACCCAACGGGAATTGAAACTTGATAATCCGATTAACAATTCCATGCCATTATCTATTACATGACCTGCACATCCAAGCTTACAAAATCTGGTATTCCCAAGTAGTCACCCATCTAGCTACTGACCAGGCACAATGTTGCTTAACTTCAGTGCTCATATGGGGACTGGTGATTCGACGTGATGTGGCCATAAGCCACTTCTACCTATACATCGAAGTTTATAGCAGCTGGTATTCCCAAGTAGTCTCCCATCTAGGTATTGACCAGGCTCAACATTGCTTAACTTTGGTGATCATATGGGAAGTTCTTAAAAGAGTTTGAAAGTTTTAAATTCCTGCCTTGCCAAACAATGACTCAGAAGAGAGCTAATGAAGAATCCTTTGTCTCTAAGAATGCTGACCATTCTCACACACACACACAGACATTCATGAAAGAAACACCCATTTATTTGAATTCTGGAAGAATATCCTAAAAGGCTACAATTTGGGGGTTTTAAAAAAGATATTTTGATGTTAAAAGGTACAGTTGGAAGTAAATCACAAGCAATAATCAATGAAATTCAAATTCTGGTTGTTGCTGGTTATATATAAAAAGATCTATGTTGACATTGTGTTTTGCAGGAAATATGTTTACTATATTGATGACATAAACCTCTGCCTATGATTCATATCCAATATTCCAGTATTATGGAGTTAGGCTAGGAACAAGTACTGATGATCTATGGCATCTGGGTAAACATTAGCCTGCCAGATACCTCCACTTCACATAGAAGACTTCCCTTATTTACATTTAATATTCCAGTATTATGGAGTTAGGCTAGGGACAAGTACTGATAGTCTATGGCATCTGCGTAAACATTAGCCTACCAGATACCTCCACTTCACATAGAAGACTTCCCTTATTTACATTTAATATTCCAGTATTATGGAGTTAGGCTAGGGACAAGTACTGATAGTCTATGGCATCTGGGTAAACATTAGCCTACTAGATACATCCACTTCACATAGAAGACTTCCCTTATTTACATTTAATATTCCAGTATTATGGAGTTAGGCTAGGCACAAGTACTGATAATCTATGGATTCATATAAAATGGGATATAAAAAAAATAATAGTATTCAATAACAGTAATTATGACGAAATGTAAATGTTTTTATTTTATTTTTTTCTCACTGTCATTCATTTTTTGTGGAAAGAAATTGTAGATCTTTAAAAACGAATTTGAGATTTTTCAAAGGATATTTAACTGATGTGATTACAGTTCGTAGATTAAGGAGGATTATTGTAGAGTTTTTTTGTTGTTTTTTCCTTTTTCCCTGCACTGACTCAGCCGTTTACTATGTGGGAGGCGTTTGCAGCCATTATTCAATCACTGAATAGATTTAGAATAGAAAAAAATTTGTAAAGACAAAATTGGGGAAAAAACAAGATAAGTCCTGCCATCATGATCATTTGAACCACAGAAAGAAAGAAAGAAAGAGAGAGAGAGAGAGAAATAAAGAGAAAGAAAGAAAGAAAGAAAGAAAGAAAGAAAAAGAGAAAGAAAAAAAGAAAAAAAAAAGAAAAAAAAGGAGAGAGAGAAAAATAAAAGAAATAATGAGAAAAATAAAAAAAAAAAGAATGAGAAGAAAAGAAAGAAAGAAAAGAAAGAGAGAAAACCCTGCACAATTTTCAGATATCAAGTCATGTCTATTAATGACTTGAAAATATCTGGTTGACTCCGTCAATTATTGTCAACTGACTGAATTTCTTTTGTTTTTTTTATATCATTTCACCCCAAGCAAGGTAATAATGTCACTAAGATGCAAGGAGTTATTTGGAGTGAAAGAGAATGAAAAGACTGTAGAAGTAACCAGAAACCCAATCCTAACAAGAAAAGAAAACCAGTGACAAAACCTCCACTTCTATTCAAAAGACCAGGGAGGAGTATGAACTGGGCGATAGCTGAATATTATCTACTCCTAATGAGGAAAAATAAATAGTAACAGAGTTTAGGTGGAGATGTTAGGAGTATGGAGTTGATGTAGGCTTTAGAAGGATCTGGAAACACAATCCTAAACAGGAAACAAGGGATAAACCTCTACTCCTGTTCAAAAGGTCAGGGAAGAGTGTAAACTGGGCGATAGGTGAACCTATCTACTCCAAGAGAGAGAGAAAGAAAGAGAGAGAGAGAGAAAGAGAAACAAAGAGTGAGAGAGAATGAGGGAGAGAGAAAGAAAATGACGAAATGAGAGAGAGAGAGAACATATTTACTCCTAATGAGGAAAAATAAATAGGAAGTAAAATTTCAGAGTTTAGGTGGAGACGTTAGAAGTATAGAGTTGAAATAGACTTTAGAAGGAACCGGAAACCCAGTCCTAAACAGGAAACAAGGGGTGACCCTCTACTCCTGTTCAAAAGATTGGGGAAATGTATGAACTAGACGATAAGTGAACCTATCTATTTCAAGAGAGAGAGAAAGAAAAAGAGAGAATAAAAGAGAGAGAGAAAGAAGGAGAGAGTGAAAGAAAGAAAGATAAAAGAATGAGAGAGAGACAGGGTGAAAGAAAGAGAGATAGAAAACATATCTATTCCTAATGAGAAAAATTAAATAGTAAGTAAAATTTCAGAGTTTAGGCAGAGATGTTAGAATTATAGAGTTGAAGTAGACATTAGAAGGAGTCAGAAACCCAATCTTAACCATTAAACAAAGGATAAACCTCTACTCCTGAGGGAGGAGTGTGAACCGGGCGATAGACAAGCTTATCTACACTTTCACAAACAAACAAAAAAAAAACAGATGACAACTATTATTAATTTTTGAATCATACGTATTTTCAAGTTAATTTTTAGCTGCTTTTTATGGAATAAATTGCCTGCCAATTTGACTAAGCTCAACACCTACTTCCATCAATTTTTGAATCAATTCACCCCAAAGAAGGTGATAATGCCACTAAGATGCAGGGTTGCTACTTCCATCAATGGTGACTGAAGCAGAACAACTTGAAATGACTTGTGAGCTTCTTCCACCTTGCAAAAAAAGTTTGCCAACAAAGAACTATGTGCCTACATCCGCAATACACAAATCTCTTTCAAAAAGCCCCCCCCCAAAGTACCTGGGGTAATCCTCGAACGACAACCTCTCCTTGACATATAAATATCTGAGTTGCCTTTTCACAATGTTCTTTATACATGCATATCACTTTTCTTACTCATACAACACCACACAATAACCCTCTGCCTTGAGTGGCTCTTGGGCCTTGCATTGGGTAAACATTAGTATTAGAAAAATATATATGTACATGTCTGAATCTATCAGCATACTGTCTTTGTTCCCATACACAAAACAACTTTTACTTAAGCTGTCAATCTAGGGAAGTGTGTAGACAATGTAGGATCTGAGAATCAAGGATAAACACTTAATGAGATTAAAAACTCATGTCTCTCTTTTGTCCCAGAGAAGCTAAATTGAACATGTCAGCTGCTTTACTCATTATGCTACAGGAACTCTTAACGGCTTTGCAAAAGACAAGAATTGACTCATCACTTTATTCCATTTGTTTCTCTGTCAAGATCACTGGTGGGTAAACTGTGGTCCTGTGGGGGTGGGGGTACGTAGTCAAAGTACTGGGAAAAATCTTGAAAAGTTTAGTGAGAAGGGCAGGGAAGAATCAAGACCAACCAGACAACTGATCTACTGAAAAGAGCTGAAGTACCATGAAACATCAATGACTACAGAAATAATCAACATATTGTTGGGATCTAGGAGGATCATCATTATCCTTTGACCCCCCCCCTCCTAGGATTGGTTGGAACTCCATTGACAATCCCTTTCCATACTGTTCAGTCCTGCATTGCTGTCCTTAGATCCCCAATGTCCAATGTGTTAAGCATTGCATGGGATCTCCAACTGATGTTCTGGATTTTTCTAAGTAGATCATTATATGTTTCATCCAGTCGTCTTTCAAGACAAGCAGATAGTGTCTAAGTTTCTGATCCATACAAAGAGGATATTGAGGAAGGTTCTTTAATCTATCTTTCGTAAGTAAATCATAACAAATGTTGTCGCCCAAAAGTACTGGAGATTATTTAAGAAAGAAAATAAATAATTAGATAAATAAAAAGATTGTCAGCCAGAGCCTATTTTGACATTTAAATCCTGTTGTTTCTTCAATCATAACCTTGTGAAGAGTTCTAATTGATTCATTTTCCTTACCCTCTGTATTCCTAAATCAACCCTAAGACACCTGTGGTATCATTTTTTCCCCCAAGCAAGGCAATAAAGCCACTAAGACGCAAGAGAGCGAAAAAAATGAGAAAAATGTTATTGAGGAAACAGGACAAGAAAAGAACGGAGTCCAAAAAGACAAAAGATGATTGATGTCGCATTTAAATTTTTGAAGATCATAGCTGATAGGAAAGCAAAAAGTCAGAGGGAGTTGTCACATGCAAGAGAAGAAACTATTAGAATAGGGCTGATGGTTACATCTAGCTATTTCAACAGTAAAAATGATGAGACCTAGCTGCCAATCTAGTACTGTGCTTAAATTCATGAAGTTGAGTTTACCAAAGGAAGGGTCCAATTTAGAAACAAAATATAAAGAGACATTGATTTTTCCTTAAACTAAAAGAAAGAAAATATGTGCAGACCATAAACACATTTGGTAGAACATATGATACCAAACAACACTGCCATCTGGTGAGCAGCTGTGAAACTATAGTAGTAAAGTTGACCAATTGGGATAATTTGCATTCAAGCTTTCTAGGCTTCAAATATATATATATATATATATATATATATATATAGTGTATATTTAGGCAGCAATCTTTCATTAATGCATGTTTCATTAAATAATATAGACAAGTTTTGTCTATTTATTTTAAGTAAGTTCCTTTCATATTTTCTGATAAGCTTAATCACATTATTGTTGAAAGACGAAAGGAAAACACCATATTGATTCATGTTTAAATCCAATCTAAGCTTTCGGCTTACACAAGCCATTATCAAAAATGACAATTTCAATAAATCAAACAACACACTGATGAAACAACAATGATAGTCCGCCCTTGCCGCATGAAAATTTCCAAGTAATGACAAACTCGTATATACGAGACGCAGAAGCGAAAATCATGTCGCAGCTTGTGATGTCACACATAACCATGTGAGAGTGAAAAACTTGTCTCTCTATATATATATATATATATTAGTGCTAAATCTGCATTGAGTTTTAAATATTACAGGACACTTCCCACCTGGGCAGTGTTACCAATTTAGCATTTCTGGAACTTGATCGAGCTCTTTTTCAGTGCATTTTGCTTGTGTAAACCAGTATTTAGCGTCTTTTTTTCTTTGGCAAACATGAATAAACATGCTTGTAATAAGACAGAGTATCAAAAAACACCTTTTTTATCATGTTACCGCATTTTTAACTTCCTTCACTCTTCAGCAATGTTTATTGCTTTAAAAAGCAATGATTAGAACTGTAATAAAACCTAAGCATATGATGAAACTGAATTTATACACTTTCTTTGTGCTGGAGAATTTACAACGAAAATAATAAAAACTATTTATTAGATTTCTTTTTAAAACTATATATAATACTGATTAAAACAATGGAGAAAGCCTCCACTCCTCAACAGTGTTTATTATTTTAAAAAGCAATGATTTTTGTTCTTGAGAATTTACGACAAAAATATTAAACACTATTTATTAGATTGTTTATTTACAAGAATAATTTCATATTTAGAACATTCTAAAAACTAAAACAATTGTAATCATCATTTAAATGCACTACTCAACTTTAGTCATCAACGCAATCTGAGAGGTTCAAAGCAATGTTGGTTTTTCCCTAGGGGAAAGCAGGTTTGAATCCTGCTGGAGAGCATATATTTTTCTCTAAGATTTCTCGAATATTCAGGCCAGTAGAGGAAAGTAAATAAATATACTGTTTAATAAATAAATGGAAAATTTACTAAAATATGAAAAATTGCATTTAGGTAATAAAAATTCTGTCGGATTAATAAATGTAAAATCCATCCCTTTACTTAGAAATTAAAATTAATGCAACGCAATATTTATTATTTACCAGTTTCTAAATAAATAAATATGAAAACAATTTTTTTATTCATAAATTTATAAGCATTTACTAAATAATTAAAATATGTAAACCAACTGAAATCCTTATTATTTACCATTTTATATAGTTCAAATCAATTTGCAATTAGCCAATGTTTGGCCAATCATTCCAATAAATAATATAATAAATAAATAGTGGAAATAAAGAATCTAATAAATAAATAAGGTTTATTATTTTTGTGGTAAATTTTCAAGAACAAAAAAAAAAATGTATAAATTTATTTTCATCATATGTTTAGGTTTTATTTCAATTCTAATCATGTTTTAAAACAATAAACATTACCAAAGATGGAAGGTAGTTAAAAATGTGGTGTCATGGGAAAAAAAAACATTCCTTTTGACACTCAGTCTTATTACAGGTGCATCTTCTATTTCCTTATTAATATTTATTATTTCATAAATAAAAAATAGCTGGATTAAAATTTATTGGACCAAATGCACTAAAATTTATTGGATCTTTCTCCAAAAGGTGCAATAAAAAAAAAGCTGGATTTTTAAATTTATCAAAATCAACTAGATGTTTATCCAAAAGAGTTAAATAAAAAAAACTGGATTCAAATTTATCAAATCAAAATGCACTGAAAATCAACTAGATCTTTCTCCAAAAGAGCTAAATAAAAAAAAAAGCTGGATACAAATTTATTGGACCAAAATGCACTGAAAATCAACTAGATCTTTCTCCAAAAGAGCTAAATAAAAAAAAAAAGCTGGATACAAATTTATTGGACCAAAATGCACTGAAAATCAACTAGATCTTTCTCCAAAAGAGTTAAATAAAAAAAAAGCTAGATTCAAATTTATTGGATCAAAATGCACTGAAAATCAACTAGATCTTTCTCCAAAAGAGTTAAATAAAAAAAAAGCTGGATTCAAATTTATCGGATCAAAATGCACTGAAAATCAACTAGATCTTTCTCCAAAAGGTTAAATAAAAAAAAGCTGGATTCAAATTTATCGGATCAAAATGCACTGAAAATCAACTTTTTCTTTCTCCAAAGTTTTAAATAAAAAAAAAATGCTGGATTCAAATTTATTGGATCAAAATGCAAAAATTAACCAGATCACTTAAAAAAAAAAAGCTTCAAATTTTTATCAAATCACTGAAAATCAATTAAATCTTTCTCCAAAAAAAAAAAAAAAGCTGGATTCAAATTTATCGGATCAAAATGCACTGAAAATCAACTAGATCTTTCTCCAAAAGAGTTAAATAAAAAAAAAGCTAGATTCAAATTTATCTGATCAAAATGCACTGAAAATCAATTAGATCTTTCTCCAAAAGAGTTAAATAAAAAAAAAATGCTGGATTCAAATTTATTGGATCAAAATGTTCTGAAAATCAACTAGATCTTTCTCCAAAAGAGTTAAATAAAAAAAAAGCTGGATTCAAATTTATCGAATTTAACTTGGATCTTTTTTTTCCAAAAGAGTTAAAAAAAAAAAGCTGGATTCAAATTTATTGGATCAAAATGCACTGAAAATTAACTAGATCTTTCTCCAAAAGAGTTAAATAAAAAAAAGCTGGATTCAAATTTATCGGATGAAAATACCCAGAAAAACAACTCAATCTTTCTTCAAAAGAGTTGAATTAATGAAAAAAAAAAATGAGTGGATGCCTATTTACAGTAGCTAAAAGCACAGAAAAGTAGCAACATCTATTTCCAAAAGAGCTCAATTGTTAATTGTTCCCAGGCTTGAATATTAATTTCATTGTTTTACCATTGTTTCATGAGCATTAATCAATACTATAGAACACAAATATTACCGGTTTTCATTTTCTCTAAATGAAAATCCTGCTTTTGTTAATAAAGATTAAATATCGATCTCAAAACCCATATTTATCCTGAGTGACTATTTTGTTTTGACAGCGTTTTAATTTCATTTGATATGAAGTTGGATAAAGCAAATGCCTGCATGGTCATTGTTAATATAGTATTTCAAACACTGGCTATGGATTCGGAAAAATGAGAAAGTCTCGCAAAGAAACACTGGTCATGGGTTTGGAGAAATTAAAAAGTATCGCAAAGCCAAAAAGTAACAAGAAATAGAACCACATCTCATTTCCCTGGTTCTTTTCTTTTTAAACGACGACTTGACTTTGGGGATATTTTTTTCCTCTGATTTCTGGAACATTCTCTTTAGGTGATCCTTTGGATTGCACTGCGTACAAGACTGAAAAATAAAACATCCGAGGCAGGACAATAACCAGTTTCAAATGGAGGACTCTTCAACTTTTTTTTTTTTTTTTTTCCAGAGCAGACAATATTTTTACATAATGAAAAGGAAAAAAAAGAAAAAAAAAAGACAAAAAACAAGTTTCCTGTTAAATTTGTTGTTGTTTTCGATGACAAAATTTTGGACAAGATTAGTATATATATTTTTTTTTTTTTAAATTAATATAAAAAAAAACAAAACTGGACAACTGAGAGATATTTTTTGTAAACTCTGAAAACAACTACATTAAAACAATTTAGATTGACAATTTAAATTCAAAACAAATGGAAACAAACAGAACAAATTCATTTCAATAATTGTGTTAAATATTCTTTCAATATAGCAAGCATTATCAGTTACATAAATATACACAATAATAATAATAATAATAATAATAATAGGTTGCCTCACATAAAATGACTGATTGTATATGAAGTGAAAACTAAAATACAATATTTTCATCTCCGTGTTTTTCTTTTTCTTAATTAAATATTTCTCCATTTCATTCTGTCTTTTTCCAAAGCGTTTGTCACAAAAATATCCTGTCTTTATAAAACACAGCTTTTAGATTTTATAAGATGAAGAACAAATTTATCAACCTGATGTATGTCACTTTTATTGAAGCTTTGTCAGAGAATGAGATGTGGAAAAAAAGAAAAAATAAATTCTGTTATTTTTATTTTTGTGTTGTTTGATTTTCATTGGTCAGTCACGTGCATTTAACTCGTTTAAGAAATGTTAGTATAATCTGTGGAGTTTTGAATTTAAGGATTATATCTTTGGAAGCCAAAGTAAATGCTTCCAGATCTTTTTATTAAAGTGTTCAAAATCTGTTCCCAGTAAAAAAAAAATTAAAAAAAATTAAGAGTCAGCTGAGAACAGGCTAAGGATGCTCTACCATTTTCATATCCTAAGTGCCTCAGTTTCATATCCTAAGTGCCTCAGTTTATTTTTAGGGATTCATGGAAGAAAAAAGGAGATAAATAAATGAATCAGCCGAGATTTTTTTTAAACTCTGGAAACAAACAAATTTTAACAATATGACAAATTCATCTCAAATAGAAACAAACAAACTGAACAATGCAGTTTCAATAATTGCTCTTTCCACTGCATATTATCATCTAAGTAATGGTCATTGGTTGGTTGTTTTTGTTCAGTGGCATATCAACACCTCTATGGGTTATTTAATGCCAAAATCGAAATATTTTGTACACAAATTTATTTTATTTTATTTTTTTTAGAGATAATAGTGGTTTTAGTGATACAAGTTTTACAATTTAACCCATAGCTTGGGGGGAGAAGAGTTGGATTCATACCTTTCCCAACTGGGATTGAAACTAGGCTCTCCAATTAACAATTCTGAGCCATTATCCACCCGTACATCCAAGCTTACAGCACCTGCTATTCTCAAGCGGTCACCCATCTAGGTACTGACCAGATTCAATGTACCTTAACTTTGGTGATCATACAGGAACTGGTGATTCAACATGATGTGGCTGTAAGCTTTATCAACTAAGTATATATACATAATGACCAGGTACTTGTTTCGATTCACACCCGTCTTCTAGGACAGCTAGCCAATCCCTGTTGTAGACACCTGCTCAGGCACATTTGTGCTTGTCCAACACCCCCAGAGCCTACGTGATTTTTTATACTATAACCATACTGAGTAGACCTTAGTTACAGTTTCTGGGAGCAAGTGCATAGTCTAGTGTGATCAACAGCTTTAACAAGAATGCTCAAACCCTCAGTCACGATGACTTTTTTTTCAGACCCTTCCTAACAGTGCTGTATGCTGGAATCGCCTCTGTAAGGCTGATGATGTCTAAAAGTCACCATTCTGATCATGATTAGATTTGAACCCAGAAAGCAAACATTCTAACTGCGTGGCCATGCAATTATTAAGATAATATAGATAATTTGTTTAATATGAAATGGCCGACTACAAAGAGGGAAAATTAAATTGTGATGTGGTTGTTTGATTTTTTTCGGCAGCATATAACCTCTATGGGTTATTCTATACCGAAATCTAAATATTTTGAACACAATTTTATGGCTTTGTGATGCTATTTGTGGCGTAATTGTGACAACGTTTTTTGATTGTCCGTTGTTCACTACACCTGTGATGACATCCAAGATTGAGCGTATTTGCATATACACCCAACTTGCTATGCAAACAGGTTTGTCTTCTTGGCTGTGATCGCTTTCAGCAAATAAAATGAAGACAATTGTATTTCAAGACTCTCTGGTTGGGAAGTAGCAACAATATTATTTCTCACTCAGACGTGGGATTCTTCTTTCAGCTTCGAGAGGTGGGCTGCTATTTTCTTAACTTCACCGGCCTCTGGGCTCAGCGAATCCTCACTACCAGTCCTTCTGTCACTGGCTGCCGGGCAGCTCCAACTCCTCTGGTCATCTACCTACTTCTCTCATGGTTGGACCCACTTTTCTTCCAACTTCCTGCCTCTCTCTGCTTATATGGATAATCCTGAGGTCACACCCACTCCATCCCTTTGTCTTTCTGGAAGATTTGGGTTAACCCCAAAGCCACACGGATAGTCAAATCTTCAAAGGACTACTTTTATGGCTATCTAAAGTCATCGATAAAATTTTGTTTCTCAATTCAAAGGAAGCTGTAGCCATAAATCCCAAAAAATACTGACTGGACTGGAGACAAATTTCCTATGAAACTCAGATAAGTAAATGGACTTAAATGGAAGGAATTTCTCTCCTTATCTTCTCAAGATGTGTGAGAAATCATATTGTTACATCCTTATCTAATTCATTCTTTTCGAAGAATGAAAATGCTTCTTCAATTTGCAGGTGACCCTTGTAAGAGAAAACCAATTTCTACAAGTATTGAAATCATATAAAATAATCCCTTAAAAAAAAAAATAAATCAATATTTTCAAATAGGGATAATATTTTAAGTTGAGCAAGAATTAAGATAAGTTTTTGCTTAAAAATAAAATACAATGTTTAGATTTACTTTTAAATGAAACATAATTTGTTATTATTTTTTTTAACATTTTTTTTTAAATCAAAAACAGATTCAGTTTTTAAAGCAAGAATAAATGAGCATTTCTTTAAAAAAAAAAAAAGAAAAAAAAAAGAAACCCAGAAGGAAGGGAGGCATACAGTTCAGCTATCAACAAGGGAGATAACCCAATAAAAAACAAACAAACCCTTTCTTGATAAATAAATAAAAACCTAACAAAAAAGCTGTCATCACTTTCAAAAGCTTTACGACAATATCCCTCTCCCCACCAAAATTACTTAAATTTATTCAAAGATGGACTGGAGGCAAAATTCCTGTGAAACTCAGATACTAAGTGGACTTAAAAGAAAAGAAATTATCTCCTTGTCTTCTAAAAATGTATGAGAGATCATATTGTTACAGCTTCAACTAAATATATTTTGAATACACTTGTATGCCTTCAACTACAGGTGAAATCTACTGTTGGTATTTTTACTAAAAAAAAATGTATTTTTATACTTTCATAATGTTTTTTTGGGGGAGGGGGGGTCACTATTTACCCATAGCTGGGAGCCTAACAGGTGCTACCACCTAGGTCATAGTGGACCTAGAAACAAAAGCAATTAAACCTCCAACCTCGCGATCAGAGGCTTTACTGCTGAATGTAATATAGTAAAGATTAGATGCTCACAATGTGCATCAGTGTGTATTGAATCAAGATTCAAATGAATCTGGATGATGATTGATTTGTTTTTTATGTATTATCAACCCTTTGTGGGTTATTTAAAGTCGATATTTTGGATTGCAAGAATAATTTTTTCTTTTTTTGCATGTGAACATTGCATTGACAGTTTTTTGGGAGATAACAATGATTTTACCAGATACAAGCCAAACTATTTAACCCATAGCTGGAGGGGAAGAGGTAAAGCATAGACGTGCTGATGATGAGGATGCCAAAGATGCTGACATACAAAAGAATTTTTGTTTGACAAACTGTTGTAATTTTATCTCATCCTCATCGCCATGTTGTAACCTAGGGAAGGTTACTGAATAGAATAATCACATGAAGATTGGTAATGAACGATAATACTTAGGACAAGAACAACACATATATGATTTGCCAGCGGGGTGTAGAAGAAGTAGTCAACTGCTAGGAGTGAGTCAAGTGAATTCCACAATGACTCTCCAACTGCAGAATATCTACCAACCACCCAAGTTCAAATTTAAATATCCGAGCCTGTAGGCTTAGCCAAAAATTTCCTGTAGACACCATATAAAACAGGGTCATGTAGCTGTTCCCCAAGACAAGACATGGCCTTATTTGGGGATCCTCTCTGCCCAGAGGCAGAGAGTGACTAGCACAGTTGAAGACGAATCTCTAACTGCAGACCAACATACAGTATTTACTATTGTATTTATGTGAATGGGAACATACCCATTATCTTCTGTAGGTATGCTACAACACAAACTTAACTTTCATTCAAAAAAAAAAGAAAAAAAAAAGAAATCACTTTTTGTTTTCCCACAGATGTCAATCCTAATGTTGTATGAATCAGCAGAATGCTACCCAATGCTACAGAGACTGGATCGATGATGAAAAATAAAAACGAAGACAAGAGAACAAAGTATACTAAAAGCTCCTTTCTACAAGAAATAAAACTATTTGAAAATTGCAATGGTTTTTTTTTTTATTTTTTAAAATATTTTATGTTTATCATAGACAAATGTTTTTCTTACATATTGTTTGATTTGGTTCTTATATCTTATCAACCCTTTGTGTGTTTATTCAAAGCCAAAACATACTTTGGAATGTAAAAATAAGAATTTTTTTATGTCTTATCAACCATTTTAGGTTATTTAAAAGCCAAAACATATTTTACATTGTAAAAATATTTTTTTTATGCCTTATCAACCCTTTTTAGGTTATTTAAAGCCATATTTTGGATTATAAGAATAATTCTTTGTTTTTTATGTCTTATCAACCCTTTTTAGGTTATTTAAAACCAAAACATTTTGGATTATAAAAACAAATTCTTTTATTTTTTTTTTTTGGTGAGTAAATATGTCATTAACAATTTTTTGAGAATAATTATGACTTTTTCAGATATAAGTTCAACTATTTAATCCATAGTGGGAGAGGTGATTGATTCATACCTTTCCAAAGTATTTGTGCATAAGTGAATCTAATGAATACAACTAGAATTTGAACTCAGCTCTCTGATTTTTAATTCCAAATCACTAATCATTACACCACCCCCACATCCTTTCTTTATTGATTATGAAGAATCAGATTTCTGTTCATGCCTTTGCTATTTTGTTCACTTGAAAACCCATTATAATAGGGTTATATCATCATTAGAACAAGGCCATGTCGCCCATCATAACAAAACCATGGCATTCATTGTTGTTACTCTGATTAACAATTCTGAGCCATTATACATTATACAACCCACACATCTAAGCTTACAGCAGCTGGTATTCCCAAGCAGACACCAATCCAGGTACTGACCAAGCTCAATGTTGCTTAACTTCAATTCACATTCATCTTCTAGAACATCTATCCAATCCCTGTTGCAGATTATGGTCACATAAATTATCCATTGTAACAAGACCATGGTGTCCATTGTAACAAGATCGTGCCACCCATCCTAACAAGGTTGTGTCACCCATTGTAACAAGACCATGGTGTCCATTGTAACAAGATCGTGCCACCCATCCTAACAAGGCTGTGTTACTCATTGTAACAAGACCATGGTACTCATCCTAAGAAGACTATGGTGTCCATTGTAACAAAACCATGGTCTCCATTGTAACAAGACTATGCTACCAATCCTAACAAGGCTGTGTCACTCATTGTAACAAGACCATGGTACTCATCCTAAGAAGACTATGGTGTCCATTGTAACAAAACTGTGCTACCCATCGTAACAAGGCTGTGTCATTCATTGTAACAAGACCATGGTACTCATCCTAAGAAGACTATGGTGTCCATTGTAACGAGATCGTGCCACTCATCCTAATAAGGCCATGTGACTCATTGTTACAAGACCATGGTACTCATCCTAAGAAGACTATGGTGTCCATTGTAACAAAACCATGGTCTCCATTGTAACAAGACTGTGCTACCCATCGTAACAAGGCTGTGTCACTCATTGTAACAAGACCATGGTACTCATCCTAAGAAGACTATGGTGTCCATTGTAACAAGACTATGCCACCCATCCTAACAAGGCTGTGTCACTCATTGTAACAAGATTATGTCACCCATCATAAAACCTTTCAGTGTGATTTTGAACAATCAAGACTAATTTACACTATTTACATTGTTCGGACTGTTGTCCTCATCTTTATTGTCATGTTCATGATGTTTTGGCTGTTGTATGCTCCGGACTTCATCAGGATCTGTTGCTATTTCTGAGATGAGATATTGTAATTATTTACATTATTTACAATATTCAGACTGTTGTCCTCATCTTTATTGTCATATTCACAATGTTTCAACCATTCTACGCTCCAGGCTCCTT